GTCCTCGATAGACTCACTTGGCTTAACGATTTTTGCCTATCTTCTCACCACCTGTGGCTGATGGTCTTGTCTTGTGTAACCCATATTTTTAAGCTCGAAGAGCACCAGTATGGGATAGATCTCAAAGTACCAGATTGGGATAGACTGGTTTAGGACCTGCCTCTTTTGTTCGCACTGTGCTACGGAGTCTGCCGTGCTCAAAGGGGTTGAGTTTGTGGGCTTTTATCGGAGTTAGATCAGAAGTCTTTCCTCATACAACCTTTCCTGCTTCGACCTGTTTTCAGCCTGCGATCGTCAGAAAGACCAGAGGTCCCAAAAACTTGATTTATTTAAAATTTTTTTGTTTACCATTATATATAACAAAAATTTAATAATATATATATACATAGCAAAAATTTAGCAAAAATAAATATTGTATATATAACAAAAATTCAATAAAATAAATAAATATATGACAGAAATTTTAAAAAATAAATAAAACTAATAATTTTATTGATAAAATATTAAGATTTGATAAATTAAGTTTATTAAATTAAATAAATATAAACAAATATATGTCAAATTATTTTTAAATTTTTATGTCAATTTTATAACCAGAGTTTATTTTTTGTAATTTGATACATTAAGCAAATTTATTACTTTTTTGCTAAATGATTAATAAATGATATTATATCAAATACATTAAATTATTTTTAATTAATTTAAATTATAAATTAAAAAAATTTTTTTTTTTATTAATTTATTATAAAAATATATATTGAAAATAATTTTGTTTGTCGTACTTATAACATTATAATAAAATATTATATTTTTAACTTGAGACAGTAAATAATGAATTTTAATATTAAACTGTTATACATTATAGATACCCACCCCTATTCTTTTTAAACAGGCACATAAATATTCTTTTTTAAGAAAGCCACACATTTGAAATCAACTACTTTAAGATCACCTTATAAGCAATCGGTTCTCATTGTGATTACACTATTTATAAATCAAGTCACATGACATTAAGCACGAAAAATTGGAATAGCGAAACAATGGATGGGTCAGTATGGTCTAAAGCGCCTATTAGCCTTAAGCTTTGCAATTTTTTGTTTATCTTCTTCAAACTTTTTGCGCAAATCAACAAGCCCTAGAAAAAGAAGAGAATATGTAAAGGACATGCATGCAAAATATCAAGTCATATTTAAAAGCAAATCATTTTTTTATTATAATTACTGTTTCTCTTGGTCTCACGCGTTTGAAAACGATAAAAGTCGACTAATTCTTTATTTTTTGGTTTTAAGTCCTTAACCTCTTCCGGCTTGGCTGCTGTGACAGTGATCGTACCATCAGTATTAACATTCCTTCTTCCAGTTCTGGTGACCGTTATGAATCCCTCTTCATCTGGTTGGTTATGTTTAGCTTCCAGTTCTTGACGTCTTTTTTGTTCAGCTTCCTCAAATTTGCGCATATATTCGTCAACTTCTTTTTGGAGTTCTTTAGGATCACATCGGAGATCTTTATACTCTTTAATCCATTCTATAATTAAGGATTTTAGACAAGTTTAACGCAAAAGGAGAACAATTTGAAAAAAAGGTTGAAAGTTTACTATCAAGACCCAAAGGGAGAATTGAATGACGGGATTTCCAAAGTCTCATTTTTTGGCTCATATTAAGTGCATTGTTTAATCCTTCCGAACTCTCAAATATCACGTAGGCCGAAGAGGCTGGGATAAGAAGCGTTCTTGACCCATAAAACTCACGCGTAAGAAGCTTGTATTTATCGGCAGTTCCAATTCTTGGCCTTAGGTTTCTCCTCTTCCTTAATTTCTTTCCCTGATATATCTTGTTCTCCGACGAACTTAATTCAGGATCCTTCTTGTCAATGTCATTATTTTCATCAATCAAAAATTCTTCACTATCAGGAATCCCGTGAAATATTACGCCTTCAATCTCTCCATATTCCTCAAATATATATCTAACGTGTTCCTCAGTTGTATCCGTAGGCAGATTCGAGATAAATAAAGTTCTCTCGGGCGGAACCTTTGTGGGCGAATCTTTACTTCCGCGTGATTCGTGGCGTTTGAAAAATAAATAATGAAAGGTTGACTCCAAGTTTCCGGTAATAAAAGGGGCATCTACATTTATTTCAAGAATTTTAAACCCTGTTTTGGAAAGTTCTTTTAGAGGTAATTTTTCACCCATGTCAAGAGTTTTTTTTGTTTTTACACGTATCAGTAACGTGTATGTTAATTTATATTAGTACGAAGATATGCTGTGTAACACGTGGTTTATAATACATTAATGTAATTAAAATAAGCGAAATAAACAATGCTCGAACACTTGAGAAATAATGCAATTTAGTTTTAACTGTAATTGCTTTTGGAATAAAAAGTATCTTTATTATTTTATCTCGATAATTTGTACTCGGTATATTAAAGAACAAAAGTCGCTTTACAAACGAAGCTTCCCGAGCGTCTGAGAAGCATGACGGATCGTACCAATTTGAGCTCCAGCTCTGATGACGCGTTGCTAGCTCTGGACGAA